AGACAACTCTCATTTAATAATTTTACACCATTACAAGTTGTTAAATTGAGAGAATAAATGTATGGACAAGTATTTGAAACTTATTTTGGTGTAGACAACTCTCATTTGATTAATTCCAACAATTACAAGTTCTTAAATTGACAGAATGAATGTATGGACAAATATTGACCATTATATTTGTGAGTAAATACCTGTTTAATTTCCACGTCTACAAGGTTAAACTGAGAGAATAAATGTGTCAGACAAATATTTGATACTTATTTAGGTGCAAGAACTCGTGATTGACCAACTTCCACCATTGCAAGTGAAATAAATACTAGTATACTGGTATCATTGGATATTTGATTTAATTGTGAAACTTTCTAACAAAATGTTAACTGCTGGCTTGGAACCCTCAATCAACAATTCCGCAGACACAGTATAAATTCCACAACACCACAGAAGATATTCGTCTGTTGCCTGAATTGTTTTCGTAATATAGGGAACGCCATCGACACTTTAATAAAACTTACCTTGACACAACTGGAAACTGTTGAACAAATTGCGCGTCGCCCAGTTTAAGGCGTAAGTTATTTTATTATTTATTCATTCAGTTTTGTATGGTGGAGTTTTGTGAGGTTTACTATTTTTTCGCGATGTTCTTTGTTTACTTGTTTACGGTTTGAGAGATTTCAGTTTATTTGATTTACGTTTTTAGACGGTGGCTCCGAGCATGGAGCTAAAATATTTTAGCTCCATGCTCTGAGCGAGACTCGAACCCACTGCCTTTTGTTTTATTTTGATGGCACGCTTGTGCACCACGCCACGACGTTGGTCGTTAAGTGGTGTTCATTTTTCTAACTACTCCAGTGTTCCGATGAGTTGAACGGAAAAGCCAAAACGATTGCTGGTTTCTGATTGCTTCGGTTCTGGTGAGTGTGTATCTAGTGTGATTCGAACCCATGTCGTTTGTATTGGGCGTTTTTTATTTATTTCCCATGTTGGCTACGCCGTAATATGCAACCACTTCCCCGTTTTATTGTGATTTTGAGAGTGTTTATCACGGTTACTACTTTTTTGTAACCGTGGTTTAATGATGTCTTCCTCACAGTCACGCCATGACCCAGTTTCAACCACACGGCCATTTTGCAACACAGTGCGTGACCCTCGGCGTCACCCGACTGACTATATGAGCGTTCTGTTCAACTGTTGAGCTAGGATTTATTACCGTTATTATCATTATATTGTCACGTGATTTATTTTACCTTATGTGTAATGTCATTAAGTATCTTTATTGTAATTTGTATATACCAATTCGTATATACCGAGGAAACGCCGCCGATTGAAGGTCATGTATTTTGTGACGTCACCAATTCGTGTGTAGGTACGGCTTCTAGATCCGTGCCCTTAAGCGTAGCTTGGACCCCCCCCCTAATACATTTTGCTGGATCCGCCACTGCACTCATGAATAATTAATATCAGTCAAATGACCGCAGATGGAGGTATGTGCGAGGCTCGAAGTCGATACTCTGCGCCACCGGAATGCGCCGACGCATTTCCCAAAATAAGCATTTCTCGGAGATTCTCACAAGACTCGTGTCCTTTGTCTAGTATCGCAATTGGTGAAGAATTGGTTAGTGCTTCGTCAAGTGCTAGAAACTTAGGTGTCTTGTTTGATTCGCAGCTATCTATGGAAACACACATTTCTACTATTTGTAGATCTGGATATTCCCATCTAAGAAATATTAATCGTATTCGTAAATCATTATCCCAATCTGA